TGTGTGTGTGTGCGCGTGTGTGTGTGCGTGTGTATGTATATAATATTCATTATATTCCTATAATATGTTCAAGGAAGGCGAGACAAATTCGACTAGATCTAGATTTGAATGCGCACGAAACTCTTTGGGCCACATTTCGGCACTTCCTTGGATTTAAAAACTGTTTAAGCGTCGGTAGCGAGGTAGGAACGTAATGTAATACTACATGTTATACTAATACTAATACTAATACTAATACTAACAATAACAATAACAATAATAATAATAATAATGAAGTGCCTTTCCCAAGGACGCATCGTCGGGTCCCTGACGGGATTCTAACCCACGACCTTACGGTTACGAATCTGAGAGCCTATAACTTATAACCACTGGGCCACCGACGCCATGTACTCTCATGGGGTGTGGGCGTGCCCTGAGCGTACTTGGTAGCTTAAAACTACTTACTTTTAATCTCCTTGGCTAAGTTGCAGAAAAGCTTTGTTCGTTTCACCAACAGGTAGGCTCATTAAGAATGCGTGTTCTTTGAAGAGTTCTAGATGCCCGTCGCCCACTTTGCCCCGCCATGCCGGTGATTTACAGTTATGTTAAATCCGGAGCCCCTTCTTTTCGATTTACATGTATATATAAATATGAGTATTTTTATAACCGTGAAGTGCTTAAAGAGCCGTTAAATCCATGTCTTGTCATACGAAAATTGAAATATGAACGCTTGGATTCGGACCTCTTTAGCTAATAAACTATAAAGTTGTTGTTGTTTGTGTGTTTGTTTGATTGTTTGTTTTTGCTTTCTGTTTTTTCATTAGAGAGCTTGAAGAGTCCTAACTGTTTCTCTAAACGGAACTGTGTTAACTGTGTATTTAAGTATGGCTTAGCTGACAGTGTTGTGTCAGGAACTTGATTTGGCAAACAAAAGCTCGTGTCTCGTTCGTTGAATGTGTTGAATTATTTGAGGGGCCAGTATTTTAGAAGGACTATTCAACGTGTTTTGGCCATTTGATTGGGCAGAAAGTTTGGTTTATTTTAAATGGGGAGGGAGTGGTAAAGGATCACACGGGGTGTGTTGCAACGAAATGTGAACACATTACCCATTTGAATTCTCCTTTTACCTGCCACTCTTTCTCTTTTGCAAAAAAGGTGAGGGGATGGGGTCCATCTAAAAACCAAAGTTTCGAGCATACTCAACTGCAACCTTCGCTACACAGACAAACGCGCTTGGGGGAACGATTCAGTGCCTTCGAATAAAAAGAAAACGAATAGATATCCAGGACGCTAGATATCTATATCTATTTCCATTCTTGAAAGACAGATAACTATTCTGTTTTTTGTTGTTTTTGTTTGTTTTTGTTGGGTTTTGTTGTTGTTGTTGTTGTTGTTGTTGTTGTTGTTGTTGTTGTTTTATTTTGTTTTGAATAACAGTCAACAAAGCAACGAAATTCAAACACATTTTGTCCAAAATATAGATTTGGATCTCATTCATCTTCATCTCCTTATAAAGCAATAAACATGCAGCACTGCTCTGAAAAACAAACTCAAACCCCTTTACTATTTCCAATTGGATCAATATATTTTATTCCTCAACTAAACAAAAGGACAAAAATAACATATTATCTTATGTACAACAAAACTCTTTTTTCTTTTGTCTGTATTTTTGTGGAAATATGAGGAGCTTTTGAAGACCCCACGCTGTATTGTTCTGGACACGGTGTTGTGGAAAATACATTATTCAGTGTTAGAGAAGGTATCCTCTCCAAAGAGAGGAAAGTTCCTTGATTTTTAAAACATTTTTTTCAAGAGTATGACTTGACTTGCTATAATGTTTTAAGGTCTAGTTTAGCTGTGAAGTCTTGAACAATACAAGGATACAACAGAACTGTTTTTTATTTGAAAATAATTCCGAAATCAGTAATGCAATAGGTGACAGTATAGAATTCAAATACAATTCAAGAGAGAAAAAAAAAAAAACATGCATAGTAATACATACAACGTTGTCATTATTCTTGTTTCCAACAGGTGTGCAAATGAGTGCCATCTTGATTAATTATTGTCCCAATCTTTCTTTGCCGATGTATGTCTTTATGCATAAATAAACACAGTAAGTACATTAAGGTGCCTTAAAACGCAAAGAAGGCATAATAAATATGTATAACACAGACACAACGAAAAAAGTTTGCAATGACGAAACCAGCGCCACGCACAAGCAGCAACCACGATTGTTGTTTTGATTAAAGAGGCACAGGACATAAATGCATTCAGTCCAAATCCTGGGCAATCATTACGCACTTCTTGCCTTTTGTGGTCCTCTTTGATCTAATGTGAGTTTAACGAAATATTGGATACGTTTAAAGAATTCTAAAGGTGGGAGGAGTTAACATGGAAATGATAATTCCATTCTGTGTTCGGTAACCGTTTTAATCAAACGCTGGTCAAGCTATTTTTCTTTATCTTATGACACTCTCGTAGTCAAATAGTTATGATGAAATTTCATTTGATAGCTGAAAAACATGAGTTATGTACATCACAATGTGAGAATGTGTATCTGCATTTACGTGAGTGTATGTACATCTGCATGTTAGAGTACATTTAGGTGTTGGTGAAAGCTTGTGCTTGTTTGGGCGGAAACTCTGCGTGCGTGTGTGTTTGTGTTTGCGTTTGTGTGTGTGTGTGTGTGTGTGTGTGTGAGTGTGTGTGTGAGTGTGTGTGCTCATGCGTGAACATGTGTCTGCATGAGTGTGTGTGTGCGTATGTGTGTGAGTGGGAGTGTACTTAT